CAAATCAATGATTTAAAATTAGTGGTTGGATTTAAAATGAAAGTGATCTTATTTTATATGTATATCTTTTAAATCTTTTGAATTTGTATACACTTATAATTCGAACAGAAAAAAATGACTTTAGCTCAACCTGAAAAATCTGTCCTTAATTCGCTTAAAAAAAATGTATTATTCTAATTGGTCTTACACTTGTCTAAGGTACATGCCACTTTGCCATTGTATTGTTTAAGGGGCAGATGGAGAAGTAGCTTATTAGGTGTGGGTTCGATCGAATCCAGTCAATTTTTCTTAAATATAATATTAGTATTAGTAAATTCATTAAATATATATATATATAAATTTAATTGCAAATTCAGTATCTAAGATGAACTATGAGTTCTGTGACAAATTCTGAATACATAAGTTTTAAACTCTGGCTCCGTCTCTATCAAGGGATGATACCTATATGACACTTGTTAACCCTTAATACCCATTTGTCCATTTGCATGGACATCCATATAACATAATTTTATAGCATTTAACATATTAAAAGATTAATAGAGTACTCGTGCAAAAAAGCCCTCACAAAATTGTACTTGGCTTTGCCTCGTTATACTGTTACTAATCATGAAAAGATTATATAAGAAAAATACTTAATTTGGAAAAGAAAATTTCAACTTATATTTTAATTGCTTTTTATTAAAGAAACAAAGGTAACTGAACCGAATCTTAAGATAATCACATTTCATGTCATGAAATTTATTTACAACATGACCACTCTGTTGTCGCTACTGTGTTAAACAGAAATTAGAAAAAACTGTTAGAAGAAACTGAAAAAACAGTAAACTATAAAAAATATTCCGAGTCCACAATTTCTTTGTACGTCCTTAAGGAATTTTAACCCCCTCACAAGTTGCCAAAGTAATAGATTAAATCCTCCCAGGATGAAACAGAATAAACCTTCCTACAACAGTGGCAATACAAATTGCAGGATACCAACGAACTCAAAAAATGGAGCAAAATCACACTTCCAAATTTGAAAGAAAGCCTGTGAAATAGAATGCAGGTTTTTCAGAAGGAAGTTCTATATTTTTTCCAGTCTGTGAAAATTAAGTCATGCCTCGGAAGTTATAGGCAATTGTCGGAAGATGTGTGATATCTGTTCATAATGTGAATAGATATTTGAAAAGAAGAGGTATCTGTTCATAATGTATACAAAAGGGAAAACCAATTCAGCATTTTGGATTCCAGTTAATTCCGTTAATGAACTGACTAGCACTTAATTTATTCTTAAATAATTAATTAAATAAACTTTGTCAAAAAATTAATCTCATCGATCGATCATTTGACAAATCCAAATCCGAAGCCAAAGTCGAGCGACGATAACGGCGTGAGGCTTAATTCTTCAACTTCTTTTAAGAGCTCTAAGAAGTGATCCTATATTTTATACACACAAGTGTAGTTGTCCCTCATCAATGAGGGACAAAGTTCATTTGACAAAGCTCACTTGATTCAAATTTTCTAAAATTTTCATTTCCCTCCATTTTGTTTCCCACCATTTTCCAATTCACACTTCTAGTCTTTAAAGCCCAATGGCTTAAAGTCCAACAATTCCCCACATGAATGGGAATGAATGTAACAAGAATGAACATAGATGAAAGCTGTGTGATTTTCAAGTAAGGATTAATTGCATTTGGATAAGTAGGTTTCCCTTTGAACTTTCCGTAGTGAGCATATGTCGGATATACTCGGTCAATCGGTAGATTTGATATCTTTGAATCGTAGAACTTTAGTGTATACCTAGACAACCATATGTCACACAATCAACCCTTAACCGTCTTTTGGTTCTCATTGTTGTGTTCGTTTCAGCCATGAACACCGCCTAGTTTCATAAGTGTGTAGAGAATTGGCCTTACAGAATTCTCATTGAAGCGGCTTTCATTTCACACTTACATAGGTGATTCCTAAACGTGTAATCCTTTAGATTGACACTATTTGATAAATACCACATCAAACTCAGGTAATCATTAAAGAACATATAAAGTTCTATCCTTGTTACTGAACATTGTCTTCATCACGAGAAGGGACCAAATATTTTACTTTGACAAAGTTGAACAGGTCAATCACAACTTTGTTTGAGCTCCTTGAACCTAGATCTCGGAATATCCAAAATTCTAGGTAAAGTTACCGCCATGATGACTTATCCTCAGCCATAGTCCCATTCCCTTAGGTGATTTCTCAACTCCCTTTTTAGATAGGCCTTTTGTAAGCGGATCCGTCACATTATCCTTTGATCTTACATAATCAATAGTGATAATTCCACTAGAGAGTAGTTGTCTAACGGTTTTATGTCTTCGTCGTATATGAAGAGACTTTCCGTTATATATAACGCTCCCTGCCCGTCCTATTGTAGCCTCACTATCGCAATGTATGCATATAAGAGCCAAAGGTTTTGGCCAGAACGGAATGTCTTCTAAGAAATTTCGAAGCCATTCAGTTTCTTCGTTGGCCTTATCCAAAGCTATAAACTTTGATTCCATTGTAGAGCGATCGATGCACGTCTGTTTGGAAGACTTCCAAGATACTGCTCCTCCACCAACAGTAAAAACATATCCACTTGTGGACTTTGTTTTTGTTGAGCCGGTTATCCAATTTGCATCACTATATCCTTCAATAACCGCATGATATTTATTGTAGTGCAAAGCGTAGTCTTGGGTATATTTCAAATATCCGAGAACTCGTTTCATTGCCACCTAGTAATGTTTGTTGGGATTACTTGTGAATCGACTAAGTTTACTTATTGCACAAGCTATATATGAACGTGTACAGTTCATGATATACATTAAGCTTCCCAACACACGAGCATAATCCAATTGAGACGTGTTTTCACCTTTATTCTTTACAAGATGATGGTTTAAGTCAATTGGAGTTCTTGCACTTCTAAATTCCAAGTGTTTGAATTTTTCAAGTACCATTTTCATGTAATGTGATTGAGACAAAGCCAGGCCCTGAGGAGTCCTCTGGATTTTAATTCCTAGAATTACATCGGCAACTCCTAAGTCTTTCATATCAAACTTACTAGCAAGCATACACTTAGTAGCTTGAATGCCGCCAATATCTTTGCTCATTATTAGTATATCATCAACATATAAGCAAACAATAACTATATAATTTGGAACATTCTTAATGTAAACACATTTATCACATTCATTAATCTTAAAGCCATTTGACAACATTGTTTGGTCAAATTTCGCATGTCATTGCTTGGGTGCTTGTTTTAGTCCATAAAGGGACTTAACAAGTCGACACACCTTCTTTTCTTTTACCGGAACCACAAACCCTTCAGGTTGGTTCATGTAAATTTATTCCTCTAGATCACCATTTAAGAAGGATGTTTTTGCATCTATTTGATGGATTTGAAAACCATACAAGGCGGCTAACGCTATTAGTATCCGAATGGATGTAATTCTTGTTACCGGCGAGTATGTGTCGAAATAGTCAAGACCTTCTCGCTGTCTAAATCCTTTGACAACAAGTCGTGCCTTGTATTTGTCAATAGTACCTTCGTCTTTCATTTTCTTCTTGAAAATTCATTTAGAACCCAAAGTTTTGTTACTTGAAAGAAGTTCAACCAATTCCCAGGTGTGGTTGCTCAATATAGATTATATTTCACTATTGACAGCCTCTTTCCAATATTGTGCTTCTGATGAAGACATTGCTTCCTTGAAGGTTCGAGGCTCATTTTCTATCAGGAAAGTCAGAAAATCTGGACCGAATGAAGTAGATGTTCTTTGACGTTTACTTCTTCGCGGATTTTCCTCATTAGGCATACCATCTGTTGTTTCCTCCCGAGGTCGTTTTGACTTTTGGTAGGACAATTCACTTTCCTTTTTATATGGATAAATAGTTTCAAAGAATTCAGCATTATCTGATTCTATTATCGTATTAACATAGATCTCAGGATTTTCTAATTTATGAACCATAAAACAATATGCATTGCTATTGGTCACATATCCAATAAATACACAATCAACCGTTTGTGGACCTATCTTAACCCTTTTAGGTTTAGGAACTTGTACCTTAGCTAAACACCCCCATACTTTGAAGTATTTCAAACTGGGCTTCCTTCCTTTCCATTTTTCATAAGGAATGGACTGTGTTTTACTATGAGGTACACGATTGATTATTCGATTAGCTGTAAGTATAGCTTCCCCCCACAAGTTCTGTGGTAAACCAGAACTTATCAACAACGCATTCATCATCTCTTTCAACATTCGATTCTTTCTCTCCGCAATTCCATTAGATTGTGGAGAGTAAGGGGCAGTTGTTTGGTGAATAATGCCATTTTCCAAACATATTTCTTCAAAAGGAGATTCATATTCGCCACCCCTATTACTTCTTATCATTTTGATCTTTTTGTTTAGTTGTGTTTCAACTTCATTCTTGTATTGCTTGAAAGCATCAATTGCTTTATCTTTACTATTAAGTAAATAAACATAGCAATATATCTTACTATCATTAATAAAAGTAATGAAATATTTTTTCCCACCGCGAGATGGTGTTGATTTTATGTCGCAAATATCTATGTGAATTAAGTCTAAAGGACTTGAATTCCTTTCAACGGACTTATAAGGATGCTTAGCATACTTTGATTCCACACATATTTGACATTTGGAATTAATGCAATCAAATTTTGGCAATACTTCCAAATTTATCATTTTTCGCAATGTTTTGAAGTTGATGTGACCTAGGCGTGCATACCATAAAGTGTTTGACTCAAGTAAGTAAGAAGAAGCATTAACTTTATTGATAGGAACTGCTATTACATTTAGCTTAAAAAGGCCCTCATTCAGGTAACCTTTTTCCTAAATACACATCATTCTTACTTAGTACAACACTATTAGAAACAAAAATATATTTGAATCAATTCTTGATAAGAGGTGAGGTAGACACAAGATTCTTGCAAATTTCTGGAACATGGAGAACTTGGTTTAGAGTCACAATTTTTCCCGACGTCATCTTCAACGCAATCTTGCCAACTCTTTCAATTTTGGCTGTAGACAAATTTCCCATGAAAATTGACTCGTCGGGTCCTGCGGGGGCATAAGAAGAAAATAACTCCTTGTTAGCACAAACATGGGCGTGACTCCAGAATCAATCCACCATTCTTTAGGATTTCCTACCAAGTTGCATTCAGACAACATGTCACACAAGTCCTCCATTTCTTCAACATTTTCAACCATGTTAGCTTGATTCTTCTTATTCTTCTTCTTTTGTACATCAGTCTTTGGTGCACGACAGACCACGGCCTTATGCCCAGACTTTCCACAGTTGTGGCAATTACCCTTGAACTTTTTCTTGCTTGGGTAATTGTTTGGTCCAGAAGTCTTCTTTCTCTTCTTATTTTGTGGCGCCTCCTCAACAATGTTAGCCCTTATTATTGTCGAGTTGCCACGTGACTTCTTTTCAGCATTTTTGTTGTCTTCTTTATCCTCAAACGAACAATCAAATCTTCAAGTGTCATTGTCGAGTTGCCACGTGACTTCTTTTCAGCATTTTTGTTGTCTTCTTTATCCTCAAACGAACAATCAAATCTTCAAGTGTCATTGTCGAGTTGCCACGTGACTTCTTTTCAGCATTTTTGTTGTCTTCTTTATCCTCAAACGAACAATCAAATCTTCAAGTGTCATTGTCGAGTTGCCACGTGACTTCTTTTCAGCATTTTTGTTGTCTTCTTTATCCTCAAACGAACAATCAAATCTTCAAGTGTCATTTCCTTACACTTGCGTTTTAGATAGTTCTTAAAGTCCTTCCACAACGGAGGTAACTTCTCAATGAAAGAGGCGACTTGAAAGGCCTCATTTATGACCATACCTTCAATAATAAATTCATAATTAATAACAAGATAAATCTTATTAGTAAAATTATTGATTTGGGGCATACCTTCAGCAAGGAGGTCATGCACAATGACTTGTAATTCTTGGACTTGAGTTATGACCGACCTAGTGTCAACCATCTTGAAATCCAAAAACCTTGCAGCCACGAACTTCTTAAGTCCAACATCCTCAGTCTTGTACTTCTTCTCAAGCGCATTCCATAACGCTTTTGAAGTTTACATGACACTATAGACATTGTACAAGCTATCTTTCAAACAACTCAAAATGTAGTTTTTTCACAAGAAATTAGAATGTTTCCATGCTTCAGTTACAACAAATCGTTCATCATCCGGAGTGCCTTCAGCCACGACCGGAGGATCCTCCTTGATGAATCGCTGCAAACTCAACGTAGTAAGATAGAAGAACATCTTCATTTGCCAACGTTTGAAGTCAATACCGGAAAACTTTCCGGGTTTTTCTGCTGGTGCCATAGCATGAGTAGGAGTTGAACGGCTCGACGAGGCAGCAACACTCGTAACAGTAGCACCCGTTCCATTAGCATTAGCTTGGTCCTCATTTGCCATTTTTCTGTAAAGTTGGCAACAAACAGAACTTTTCAAAATCAATGAAGGTTTTATATCTTCAAACTGAATACCAAACCAAACATTCAAAACATAAACGGTGAAGTTTATTATATTCTTCAAACCGTATACAAAATATATCGAAGTAGAAAGCACCAAGGCTTTAGTCTCCAAACCAGTATGCAAAATATATATCACAGTTCAATATAAATTTCAACACAGAAACGTTAATGTAAATTCCTTAAGCTTGTTGGCGCTACTGTGTTAAAACAGAAATTAGAAAAAACTGTTAGAAGAAACTGGAAAAACGGTAAACTATAAGAAATATTCCGAGTCCACAATTTCCTTGCGCCCTTAAGGAATTTTAACCCCCTCACAAGTTGCTAAGGTAATGGATTAATTCCTCCCAGGATGAAAAGGAATAAACCTTCCTACAACAGTGACAATACAAACTGCAGGATACCAACGAACTCAAAAAATGGAGCAAAATCACACTTACGAATTTGAAAGAGAAACTGCGAAGTAGAATGCAGGTTTTTCAGAAGGAAGTTCTATATTTTTTCTAGTCTGTGAAAATGAAGCCATACCTTGGAATTTATAGGCAATTGTCGGAAGAGGTGTGATATCTGTTCATAATGTGAATAGATATTTGAAAGGAAGAGGTGTCTTTTCATAATATGTACAAAAGGGAAAACCAGTTCAGCGTTTGGATTTCAGTTAATTCCGTTAATGAACTGACTGGCACTTAATTAATTCTTAAATAATTAATTAAATAAACTTTGTCAAAAAATTAATCTCATCGATCATTTGACAAATCTAAAGTCGAGCCGAGCGACGACGACGGCGCGAGGCTTAATTCTCTTCAACTTCTTTTAAGAGCTCTAAGAAGTGATCATATATTTATACACACAAGTGTAGTTGTCCCTCACCAACGAGGGACAGAGTTCATTTGACAAAGCTCACTTGATTCAACCCTCCATTTTATTTTCCACCATTTCTCAATTCACACTTCTAAGCTTTAAAGCTCAGTGGCTTAGCCCAATGGCTTAAAGTCTAATCACTCTTACTAACTCCATAAGCAATTCATTTTCGTCATGAAAATTCCTTTGCAACATGCACAAAAAAAATTCCTTAATTTAATTCTTTCAATATGCATATGTTCGTGCGTACAGAAGTATGAACCAGCTTATTATGTGCAATTTCTGAGTCCAACCAGTCGTAGTTTAGGAGTGAGATGGAGAAATTCGCATTGAGTCAAAATACAAAATAAGAGCGGCAAGAAATTAAATAAAAAAGATGTCAAACTAGACTTTCTATGTTAAGTATGACTTTAATTCCTTTTTTTAGTTTTTTTATTTATTAGAAATAGGACTTCTAATACCCTTAGTTTACTAAACCGGGTTTAAACATCCGATACGGACCGATATATATATATAGTATCGTTTTACTATCGTTAAATCTGTTTGGGGTTACACTATGATAGCCTGGATTTTACCATTGAGGCCTTTTGACCTTTACTCGTGAGAGTTTCACGACGGCAGCAGAAAAATGAAAAACTAAAAAAGATCGAATAATGCAATAGCGATGAAAACAAATATTGTTCGATAAATAGGTTTTACAAATTTGCATCTACTATTAGTGCTCCATATAAAAGAAGAATTTGAGTATCCTATATCGATAAAATATTTATTTTGAAACCACCTATCTATTTATGCTACGTTATAAATTTATCACTCTTAGAGAGGTTATTAATTAAATATATCTTTTATATATTTATCATTTATATACAAAGTAATATATTAGACTCGAATTTTATTTTTATTTTTTCTCTCTTCCTCTTCCGCATTTTTTCTCCCCACTAAAAGAATGATCAAATTTCCAATTATATTTTGCAAAATTCACTGCTAAACCTTCGTCTTCTTCAACCCCTAATATTGCTACTCAAATCCGTAATTTTACATGAAATTCCGTTGAAACTCAAGCAAATATCCACTTTGTCTTCTGGAGTTCTCAGATTATCTCCGATGGCTTTAACTCGATCTTCTATTCTGCCCACAAATTCTATGATAGCCATGATTTTTAAGATGAAAATTTTATTGTCAGTTCAAAACAACTAACAATTTCGTCATTAACACCATTAAAAATGGTTGGAAACTTTGAATTCGAATATCGGATTTAGTAAAGTTGCACTTGTTTGGATTGGATGTTGTTGCAAATGATTGAGAGGAGTTTATATCTCAATTTTTAGAGAATTTAATGAAAATTTGAGTTGGACTTGGTTAAAATGTTAGATTGAAACTTGAAAAAAGAAAAAAAAACATAAATAAATTTATATATATATTTGGCAAGACAAAACATGAAAACAAAAATAACCTCATTCAACCTTTTTACTAGGTAGTAGTACAAATTCCCTCCTCTAGGCCCTAACCAATCTCATTCCTATGAAAGTTTGAGCTGGAATTCTGTCTGCTACATCTTAAAGCAACAAATATTGAGATTGTTAGAACAAAAACCTTTGTTGCAACCTGCATACACTTTAATAAAATTTATACCTGTTAACGGGCGGGCTGTTTCGGGCTGGACACGGAAAAAAAACAGCACGTTCGGTTATTGTTTCAGGCTGTTAGTGGGCTGAGGTTCCGGGCTGGTAGTGGGCTAGGATTTTCCGAGTTTTGGGGGCCGTCCGAGTTCGGGCTTAACGGGGCTGGACCGGGCCGGGTTACTTCTTATTTTTTTAAATTATATTTTATTTTTCTTATTCAATGTTATTGATACTTAAGTATTTGCAAATTTTTAAGGTTTAGAATTAAGGCTTAGAATTAAACTTTAAACTTTGAAGTTTAAAGTTTTAAATTTGAAATTTGAAAGTAAGTGGCTACAAAAAATTATTTAATAAGACCAATAGGCAATATGTAAGGATCAAACTTCGAAGGCTTTCCTTTTACATTTTCATTGAACAATAAATAATACTTCAAATTAATTTGCAAGTTCTATTTTTATTTTTTATTTTTGAACTTGCGAATTAAAAGTTTATAACAATTATAAAAAATAAGAAAGAGTACATCACATGCTTTGCACCATTTTTGTAAGTTCATCCATGCCAACATGAGGTTCTTGATTTCCGGCATTACTTGAATCGGAACCATAAACCATTATATCTTCAATTTCTTGGTCCTCCGCTTCATCTACCTCTTCACGCCCTTGATTTCGCCGTTATGATCTTATCTAATCTCTAAAACACACTAGAATTTCCAAAGCGTTTCCGTACTAAATTTGATATCAAACTTCAGTTGATATATTGATACTTGATACCACACTTCATTTGAATACTTAATATTTGATAATTATAATTTTGTAGTGACTAAAGTACTTGAAATAATAAGTAGTTGAGAATTTAAGAGCAATAATTAATAATATTAAGAGAGAATTAGAGTAGTAATAGAGTAAATTGTGAGAAGAGGGCTATTTAAAGTTTTTAAAAGGTTAAAATTATATTTTATCAATTATTAGGGGCGGGGGGACTATTTNTCTTCGGGGGGTGGGCCGAAATGGCCATTTTTGAATTTGACCATTGGCAACGGTCCAGAAATTTAAAATAAAAAAAATTGTAATGGTAATAGGGCTGGACTGGGTTGTAGCCCGGGAAAACCCTAGTAACGGGTAACTGGGATAAACGGGTTACGGGGCACCGGTTACCAAATTTTATTCGTTCAAGCCCAGGTCCCCGCCCCCAACCCTCCCCAGCCTGTCCCAGCCACTACAGTACAAGGCTGAACTGGGTCGAACCGGGCTGTGAACGGGCCAGCCCGACCCGATTAACAGGTATACTTTAATTATATAAATACTGAATATGCTTTAATAAATATCTGTCGGAGTACTTGTATATAGAGACAGAACTGTGTACTTGAAAACAATTTAATTTAAATAACTTGGCGTTCCGGACACTAAAAGCATTTACAGCTTATTTGGATGGTTGTTACCTATTGTATTATATTGTATTGTTACTTTAAATATGATGTTTGTTTTGATTGTTACTTAAATTTTATTGTATCGTATCATTAAATTTGTTGTCATGTAACGACGAAATGTGCCACTTTATGTAACGACCGATTTGGTGTGGTCGCGTCGTTACCTTATCTTTTTTCTCAATCTCACCCTTTGTTATTATTAAATAATTTTATTTTATCATTTACCCTACCTTTTATATAGTAATTTTACCATGTATCATAGTTTTTTTTAAAAATATTACAAATTTATTCTTCATATTGATGGTGCGTGATATCATCAAACGATGACAAACGACATAATCTATCCAAATATTATTTTTATCAAACGATATGGTACGATACGATACGATACGATACGATACATTACGAAACGATGCGGAAAAACCATTCAAACAAGTTGTTTGAGGGCATTAGTTGAACAGAATATTGATGCCTCTGTTGTGTTAAAATCCTAGGTTTGCTTCTGCTTCTATAGTATGAACTAAAGGTGTTTATCGGGCGGGCTGGACACAAAAATGGTCAGCCTGTTAGGGTTACGGGCGGGTTGTTAGCGGGCTGGAGTTAACGGGCTGGTGGCGGGCTGGGATTTTTCGGGTCCTATAGGGCCCGTACGGGTTCGGGCCTAGAGGGTTCGGGCGGGTCGGGATTTCGTTTTTTTTTTAACTATCTTATATTTTTCTTTTTCAATGTTATTGATAGTTAAGTACTTAAGTGTTTTCAAACTTTTAAGGGTTAAAATTAAAGATTAGAATTGAACTTTTAAGGGTTAGAATTAAAAGAACAAACTAAAAGTCTAAAATTTGCAAACTAAAAGTCTAAAACATAAAACATATTAACATAAATGCATAAGTCTATATAAAAAATATTGAATAAGAGTATAAGACATTATGCAATATAAAAAATTCACAATATTNTTATAAGACATTATGCAATATAAAATATTCACAATATTTAAGTAACTTTGATATTTTTATTGAGTAATATATAGTACTTCTAATTAATTTGCAAGTTCTTTTTTGATTTTTTAAATATTTGAACTTGCAAATTAAAAGTTTACAACAATTGTTAAAAAAAAAAGTAATAGTAAATCAAATGTTTTGCATCATCTTTGTAAGCTCTTCCATGTCAATGTGAGGTGCTTGGTTTCCGGTATTATAGTCGGTACCATAAACCATTATATCTCCAATTTCTTGGTCTTCCTCTTCATCTACCTCGTCGTGCCCTTGATTTCGCCGTTCTGATCTAATCCAATCTCTGAAGCACACTAGAACTTTCAAAGCGTTGCTACCCAATGAATGACGGGTATCTCCTAGCTGCTGTCTTGCTTGGCTAAATGCGCTCTCTGATGCGACTGTTGAAATAGGCACATTTAGAACGTCTCGAGCCATGGCCGAAAGAACAGGAAACTGATTTGCGTTGCTCCTCCACCAACTCAGAGGTAAAAAATCCTTTGTGAGGGGCTCCGGTGACTTTTGCAAGTAGAATTGGAGTTCATCAATATTCCGGCTACTGGTTTGTTGATGCTCTCCTAGTGTAGACCAAATCAAATAATCTTGAACATTATCATCATCTTCCAAATTTGTTCCAGATGTTGAAGTATTACTTGAAGGAATATTTGCATCTACAACCGAAGAAGCATCAACAATGTTAGCATAATAATTATACAAAATTTGTAAATGTTTGTGCAGATCAGAAATACAAGTCTCAGTATCAGGAGTTTCAGTTGGTCCAATATCCATATAAGTATATAAAGCACTGATTAATTGGCGACACTTTATCATTTTGATAGTAGGGTTTAAAATAGCACCAATTTGGTAAATAGGGGGAATTAGAAAGAAATATTTTTTAAACTTATCTAGCATGGTTTCAACAACATTGGTATATCCCTCTTTCGCCTTCAACTTATGTAGTAAAAGAGAAATTTCAGCAATGTGAACTAAACCATTTACAATAGTAGGATAATAAGCTCCAGAAAACTCAAGTGTAGCCACATAAAATTTTTGTAAAAATTGTACAACATCATGAATGACATCCCAATTTTTAGATGTTAACAGACGGTTAGGATCGGTACAATGAGAATTAGCAACTTCAGTTATAGGCATTCTATATTTATAACAACATCTTAGGAACAAATAAGTATAATTCCACCTAGTAACTATTTCTTCAGGCATGAGTCTTGGTTTTAGTCCATAGTGTACACATTTTTCCTTAAATGCATTTAATCTAGCACTTCTATTATCTCCTTGAATTACACCAACAGCTCTTCTAACTAAAGTGATGTCATTGTGAAATAAGTCAAGGTCACTCTTCACAATCAAGTTATAAATATGATATGCACATCTAATATGAAATATTTCAGGAAGTGGTGGGCGTAGATGCAATTTTAGTAATGTAATAGCAGAAGTGTTATTAGAAGCATTATCAAATGACGTACACAAAACTTTTTCAGAAAGATTATAAAATAAAGCAACTTCATGGATAGTAGCACTTATAAATGCACCGGTATGACTTTGATCTTCATCATATTTAAAAGCAATAATACGTTTTTGCATACAAAAATTATCATCTATCCAATGGCATGTAACAGTTAAATAATCATTTCCATTTACAGCACGACCAATATCAGAAGTAAGAGAAACTTTACAAGAAAGACTAGCGAACAAATAACGTATANACAATGATATGTAACAGTTAAATAATCATTTCTATTTACAGCACGACCAATATCAGAAGTAAGAGAAACTTTATAAGAAAGACTAGCGAACAAATAACTTATGTATGTCTGATATTGTCCATAAAGCCTAAAGATATCAGATCTACAAGTACTTCTAGGAATACCTTTAAACATAGGGTTATAAATTCTTTGAATATAAGTAACAAGATATGGTGAAGAAGCAAAACTAAAAGGTAAACAACCTAAAACAATCATTTTAGCTAATTCTTCTCGATCTTTTTTAATATCGTATTTACCCATTAACCCCCCAGTGACCGGGTTAAGTTTTTGTTGCCCAGCTTCATCGCCTACTCCCCAATCAATAGGATGAATTTCTTCCATGTGCCTACGAAGTTGACCCGTTCCCCCATTCTTACCGGGCTCGTGTTTATAAACTTCATTACATATTTTACATTTTACATAATTTTTCTCATTTTCTAGTCTATCAAAAAAATTCCAACACTTACTTCTTAATCTTCTATTCTTCTTAATAGGCAAAGGAGGCTTACTTACACTTCCACCGCTAATATTTTGACTAGCATTACCGGGTGTAGGTGGTGGTATTTTAAGATTATCGGGTGATTGAATATCATCTAAAATATCATCTAAATCATCATCAATACCCAAATTTTCTTGAAGTAGCTCATAATCTACATTTACGTTTTCGGGTGAACTTTCAGAAATATGTGTTGCACTACTAGAAGAACCACCACTTACTCTTTTGGAATTTTTCTTACTACCACCTTTACTAGTGCAAACTTTTTTGGCCGCTCTAAGTAAATCCATTATCTAATTTAAAACAAAAAATTCAAATAATAATTCTAAATAATAAAGAGAAAGGGATGGAACGAGTGTACCGGGATTCCGAATGCCGCACTAAATTTGATATAGAAACGAGAAAGTAGAAACTCAAACTTCAAATCTTCAATTGATATTTGATAACTTGATAATTAATGTCACACTTCACTTGAATAATTGAATTAGAAATTTATGATAATAATACTTTTGTAATGAAAGTATGAAACTTGTAAGTTGAAACTTGAAAGCTTGAAATAATGAGCAATTGAGAATATTATCAAGAGAGAATTGAGAGATAATTAGAGAGAATTGAGAGATAATTGTGAGGAATAATAAAGAAAGGGGGTATTTATAGTTTTTTAAAAGGATTCAATTGCAATTTACAAATTATAAAGGGGGGGCTAAAATATAAATAAAATACCAAATTTTGGCTGTTTTTGACAGATTTGGCCGTTGGCCAACGGTCATTTTTGAAATTTGACCGTTGGCAACGGTCAGATTTAATTTAAAAAAAAATAAAAATTAGGCGGGTTTGCGGGCTGTTGTGGGCTGAGGTCCGTTAAGCCCTTAACGGGTTGTGGCGGGTTCGGGTACCCGTTTGACTAAAACTTAACGTTACTAGACCGCCCCCGTCCAACCCGTCCCAACCCGCACACATATGCACAGTAACGGGCTGGACCGGGCTGGACCGGATTATTAGCGGGTCAGTCCGGCCCGATTAACACCTTTAGTATGAACACCGTTTTGATTTGGCAAATTGAAGTTACAATCAATAATATATTTTTACACTTAAAAATTCCAAATAAGATAAACAATTAGATAATAATATTTGACTGATAATTATTCAAGTAATTGCTTTTGTCGACAATCAATTAGTATCTTATAACCGGCAATCTTTTTCTCTATCTGAAATCCATTTCTCTGCAACTCTGATACTTCATTTATGATTTTAACCCTTCTCTATATTTTTGCATAAATTTCATAACCTTTTTGGAGAAGTGCACCCTCCCACCATTTAATGATATTCTACAAAAATCTCCAATTATTTCATGAATTTTTAGTTTTATCCGTTGACCCATCTTTTTTTTTCTCCTACTACTTTCCTATCCCATAATCTCACCCAATTGTCCAATTTTGACCAAACTTTAATTCTTTTTCTCCTTATTCGGATAGTAAATCAAATTCTGGTCAACACACTTCAAATTTTTACAATCTTTCAATATATCTCTTAGTTTGCTATAGACCATTATTACTCTTAGATTTTATGTCCCAAAATACATTTATATAAGGGCTAGTCAAAGTTAAACAAGAAAAATTCATTCAACATAGCTATAACATTTTCATTGTTATATTTCACAAGAAAATTTTCACCCTTCTTTTTTTTCTTTTAAATCTTTTCTTGAGATGGTATAGAAACCAAGTTGACAATTGACAAGTACTTGTTTGTTTTGTAGTTGTCTTTTTGAAAGTTGATTGAACGTGTCTCTTTTTTTTCAAATAGAACAGAAACATAAATAGTAGTAGGAGTTATTACAATTCCATTGAAACAAACAAACCAGAAACATTTGCATTTTTAGCCAAAATAATGGAACAAAATGACACTACTACTATAGAGATGTCAGCCATGGAAATTCACAAAGTTGCTCCTCCCCCACATAAAACCACTTTGCAAAAACTGAAAACTAGGCTTAAAGAAACTTTTTTTCCTGATGACCCTTTGAGACAATTCAAAGGACAGCCATTGAAAAAGAAACTAATTCTTGGAGCTCAGTATGTTTTTCCCATATTAGAATGGGGTCCTAATTACAGTTTCAAATTGCTCAAATCTGATATTGTTTCTGGTCTCACCATTGCCAGTTTAGCCATTCCTCAGGTAAATATTTTTTCCTTAATAAATATCCTTTTCTATATAAGTTTCTAAGTTTGTAAAAATTTTTGTTATACATGGTAAATTTGTTAAGCTTTTAATTTCTTTTCTTTTTATTTATTATTGTGCAGGGAATTAGCTATGCAAAGCTAGCTAATTTACCTCCCATTGTTGGTCTATGTAAGTATTTCTTTTTCTTTAGTATTCTTTCTATCCCAATTTATATTGCACTGTTTGACTTGACATAAAGTTTTAAAAAGAATGGAGTTCAGTGGATGTGGCTGTTCTTCCCTTAACCAGAGGTCTCGGGTTCGAGCCTTGGTTATGGAAAAATCCTTGATAGGGAGTGCTTCCCCCGAAAGGATCCTACGCGGCGCGAATCCGGATATAGTCGGGCTCCAATGCGGTACCTTACACTGGATGGGAACCAAGAAAAAAGTTTTAAAAAGAAATTAAATAAAAAAAAATAAAATTTGTGATCTGACAAACCTTAAATATTTGTATGACTATAAATTATCTCATTAACGGTAGAATAAGATTTTAAAAATTAAATTATTTCTAAATATGAAAAGGTGATATTCTTTTTGAAATATACCAAAAAGGAAAATATATCATATAAGTTAAGACGAGTTATTTAAGATGAGTAATTTAGCATGGATGAATCAATTATTTCCACTTTTATTTAATATTTTTATTTAATTTTTGCCATGCAGATTCAAGTTTTGTTCCACCCCTAGTGTATGCTGTACTAGGAAGTTCAAGGGATCTAGCAGTAGGTCCAGTTTCAATTGCATCACTTGTTCTTGGATCAATGCTTAGAGAAGTGGTTTCTCCTACAAAAGATCCAATCTTGTTTCTTCAACTTGCCTTCTCTTCTACTTTCTTTGCGGGCCTTTTCCAAGCTTCTTTAGGCTTTTTAAGGTAATCTCACTCTCTTTCCTATTCTATTTTATAACCCCCCCGCACCCTCACACCTAGAAAAGATAATGATTTTGGGTGTATTTGGCAAGAAGTAATATGTTCTAATTTTTTCATTTTTGGTGGTTTATATATTTTGAAAAATATTTTTCTCATAAACTCTTCTCTACTAGAATAAAATATTTTTCAAACTCTTTTTAAACCTTCTCTACCCTAACCCCCACCCTCATCACTTCACCCTCACCTAGGGATGGAGAACGGGCGGGGCGGGGCAAAATGGGTAATAAAAAACAGATAAATTATACGACCCGCCCCATATTTAATACGGATAAAAAACGGATTAACCAGCGAATAATATGAGTAATCATATTATCCATGGCTTCATGAATATGATCACTTTTGGGAGAATTCTTAGTCTCACAAACTTGAGAAACCCCCAATTTGAGGTTTTACAAATATAAAAGTTAAACCCGTTTCCATTAGTTATCCATTTTCTAAATGGATAATATTATTCTTATCCATATTTGACCCATTTTTAAAAAGTTCATTATCCAACCCATTTTCTAGTGGATAATATGGTTGGTTAACACTTTTCTTTTAACCATTTTGTCACTCCTACTCTCACCCCCAACCCCTCTCTCTTCACACCACCCCCGCCATCCACCGACTCCCATCCCCTACCCTCGCGATCCGGCCCCTAAACCCCGACCTACCATCCTTTCTCGCCCCTTATCAATTTTGTCTCCCATAATATTTGCCTAAATTATATATTTTTTTTTAAAAAAAAATTTGCTACCTAACCAAACACCAGAAAATAAGAAAGAAAATCACTTATTTTTCAAAAAAAATATTTTCTTTCATACCAAACATCCTTTAACTTCTTTGTACCGATCGACGACATAATATTATTATTTAATACCATTAGATTAAGTTACCCCCGACTATAAGTGATTATTTATAGCAAATCTGATATAATAAGTTGAAATGAGTAAATAATTATAACATACTATTAAGATACACTGTTTGCTTATATAATCTTACACTGTTAATATATCCAAACATGATTAAAGGGGGAAACAAGAAGTTTGGAAAAATCTCTCTTTCCTATTCTGTTTCAAAAAAAGAAAAATATCATTAAGTAGGGAGGTAGACGCTTGAAAAAGCAAAATTGAGGCATAAGTATATATGTTATACCTTTGGTCATATATTATTTATCTTTTAAAGTTTTTTCACATTCCTTAAAAGTAAAATTACTACCCTTAATCGTAAATATATTGTTTAAACTACCATTTATCTCTCTTAAATATTTACTTTATTAATATTGATGTTGCTCGAACTCTTCAAAAATATCGATGAGTGTGTCGGATCCTCCAAAAATAATGTACTTTTGGAGGATCCGACACGAGTGTGGCAAATGTTTTGGAGAGTCCACTCAACGTAGATTAATACTATATTTAATTGAATTAATAAGGGTTGATTTGAAAAGAAAAATATCTAATAAATGACTGTATTTTTTTTTTTTAAAAAAAGAAAGTCAATTAGTTTTCTTCTTAAGACCTCTTTACTCGTTATTTGTCACTCTACTAGCAAAACTAAAATAGAAAATGGTTGAGTGACAGATAATCGGTTATGAACTACTTCCTCGGACCACAATAAATGACAATTTTATCTTTTTGTTGTGGTCCAAAATAAGTGTCTATTTACATAATCAAGAAGGAATTAATTATATTTTTACAAAATTTACCCTTATTTATATATTTTAATGTGTCAAGGTAATAATTAATTAAGGTTAATTTAGTAAATATATTTTTTCCTCTAGGAGTTTGTATTTTCTTAATGGGTGGGCAAAAGGTAAAATGGTCACTTATTGTGAACAGGGGAATAATGTTTAATTTGATATATGAGTTTTTGCTTTCATTTTCTTTAAATGCAGACTTGGGTTTATAATTGATTTTCTTTCAAAAGCAACACTGATTGGATTCATGGCTGGAGCTGCCATTATAGTGTCATTACAGCAACTCAAGAGTCTTCTTGGTATTACAAATTTTACCAAACAAATGGGAATAATCCCTGTTCTAAGTTCCGTTTTCCACAGGACAAATGAGGTTAGTGTAATCCTTTTTCATTCTTTAATTTAAATGATCTAATAGTGTAAAAATATTTAATTCGTCAGTGTATATAAGTTAATCTCAATGAATTAATTTGTGTTTATGTGGTATTTGTGCAGTGGTCTTGGCAAACAATATTAATGGGAGTTTGCTTCTTGGTTTTCCTCTTATTCACTAGACACATAGTAAGTATTTTTATCCTTTTGTTTTCGGCTCGAACTCGTGACCTATATGTATTTTCTTGAATTTTTTATAATATTTTTGTCTCGTCGTGGTTTAGGGAACACACACATATATAACGTATATCTTGTAATTCTAATATTGATAAAGGATCTTTACACAAATAGTTGGTCAGATTCATTGTTTATTTTTTCTAGTCGGTCATAGATTACACACTGATTATACACAAATTATACACATATTATACATCTGTCGGCTATATAATTTTATTTAGGCAGTTGGATGGACGGCTATTTAGGTTAATTCTTCTATTGATAACTTATCGAACATCCCATACTTTTGTAATGCAGAGCATAAGAAAGCCAAAATTATTTTGGATTTCAGCTGGAGCTCCTCTTCTTTCAGTGATTATTTCTACGCTGCTGGTATTTGCACTAAAAGCTCAGAAGCATGGCATCAGTGTTGTAAGTTTCTCTAAAGAATAAATTCATTATGTCAATAATGGTGGTCAATATAACTAAAATAATTTATTTTTGGGCAAAATAAAAAAATGGCCAGTCGGCGGGAGCTAATTGCATTTGCTAGCCAAAACGAGTATAAACTATATATGTTATATGTATATGATACGTTTATATACAAGAAATATACATTTTGTCGGCTATTATTTGTAGGAGCGGCGATATATATATATATATATATTTCTCTTTATTTTTGTGTAAAATACAAAATGGCCAGTAGACAAGAGCTAATCGCATTTTCTAGCCAAAAAGTGTATAAAATATGTATATTATATGTATATAATACATATATATATACAAAAAGAATACATATTTTGTCGGTTATTATTTTTAGGAGCGGCTAAAAATATATATTTTTCTTTATTTTTGTTACTATAGTATCTACACTCTTTATCCTTGACGATTATTAAATTTTTGTTACTTATGGTAGATTGGAGAACTACAAAAAGGATTAAACCCTGTCTCATGGAACATGTTACACTTCCATGGAAGATACTTGGGGCTTATAATTAAAACAGGCATTGTCACTGGCATCCTTTCACTCACTGTAAGTTTATTCCAACAACTCTCTTTTTGTGCTTTTAACTCCACGTTGTCACACACACTCTTTGTTGGATCCGTGGTTATCCTGTATTTGTAAATAATAATTCTGGAAAAAAAAATAAAACGTTAGCTTATAAACGTAAATTTAAATGCGACAGTAATTAATTCGAGCCCACTGAATTCACAGTATTTCCTTAAGGAATTTAATCCCCTCCTAGTACCCAAGGTTATAGATTATTTCCTCTCAGGATAGAACGAATTACACATTGGTATAGCGGTACTTCAAACCCCAGTATTTCAGCGAACACAAAGTTCGGCAGCAAATCACACTTATGGATGCTTTGTTTGTAGTTAAAAACAATGCAGAATAAGGAGGACAACTCAGAAGTCGAATGAAAATTCTGAGAGGAAGGAATGCAAAGTATAGCCAATGTTGAATTCTTACTGAAGAGAATATCAGATTGCAATTCGTTTTTCCAGTGTATACGCAGTGTATACAGAGTGTATATCCAGTATATACAAAGTGTATATCCAGTATATACAAAGTGTATATCCAGTGTATACAGAGTGTTTCGAGTATTTTTTCCGATGTGTTATTCTTTCTCTCCAACTTATGCTCTATTTATAGCAGTTATTTGAGAGAAATCCTCCCCCTCCATGGTGCAACAAGCACTAGGCTATCATGGAGGAAGCACTTACATGGTGGAATGTACACTTGCTTGGTGGGAGAAGCACTTGCACCATTGTGGGAGATGCACTAGGCTGCTTATTGCTTAGTGTTGCAACACAATACACGGATTGGAAAACATCCGTTAC